TTTTTTGCCTACTCTTTCATAGAGTACAGTTGCTATTTTTGCAAAGTCTACTATATAATATCTAAAATAATTCATAAATCCTAGGAAGTGTTGTAACTCTTGTTTAGTCTTTGGTGTCACAAATTTGTCTACATTATCTATTTTTAACACATTTTTTTCTATATTTCTATGTGATACTTTACAATTAAGTATGATTGTTTCTTGTACAAGAAATTTATATTTTGATGGTTTAATTTTCAGAGCCACTTTTTTTAAGCATTCTAACACCCTTGTTAGTTTTTCTTGTACTTCTTTTTTTTCTTTCAGTAAAATTACCATATCATCTATATATATTAGCACATAGTCTAAATGTTCTAGTATTTTATTAATTGCTCTTATTAAATAGGCTGCTGCTGTTTGGATTCCAAACGGCATTCCTTTCCAACAGTATGTACCATATTTTGCAAATTGTGTTGCAGTATATTTTCTTGATAGTTCTGCTACTAGTATCTGCCAATAGATAGATTTAATATCCATTGTTATATAGTATTTATATCTAGCGACCTATTGTAACATTTGTTTAGTATCTGGTAGTGGTTCTCTAAGAGGTATGAGAAAACTATTTAGTTTTCTATAATCAATTGCAATCTTTTTCATCCCATCTTTCTTCTCTATTACTATACAGAGACTTTGCCAATCTGTGTTTCCACTATATATTATTCTATTTTTTAGTAAATTATCTCGCATTTTTCTTATGACAATTAACTCTTCTTCAGAGTATTTTCTTCTGCCTTGCATTATGTCTTTTAATGATATTTTTCTTTCATTGATTTCTGGTTTAAATATGAATTCTACAGGTTCAATTACATTTGGGTTTACAAATGTATGGAATTCTTCTTTTTCTCTAAATATATCGACATATTTGGTTAAAATATGTTTGATTAATTTCTATACTTCATGTCCTCCGGTTTCAAGACAGTGGTCTTGAAGTATTTTTATTCTTTTCTTTTCGCTTTCGACGGGTTCGTTGAAAGTTGATAATTTTTGAAGAAAATTTTAGTTAATTTTCAGTTCAAAATTCTTCTATTTTTTCATATTAAAATTTTTAATTTTGACTTTCTCTCCATTTGCTATATATTGTCCTTTTCTGATCCTGAATTTTTTATCAGAATAATTCATTATTGTTATATATTTTCTATTTGCTATTCTAGGCTGCACAATTACTGCTTCTTTGGCTTTTCTGGCTGTAGTTCCTATATAAAGATCATCTTTTATTAGTTTTTGGATCTTTATATGCCCTATAGTTATAGGAGGTATATCTGTTTCTATGTTCGCTAATATTTGATATTTAGCATTTTTCTTCTTGTATAGTTGGTAATATAATATGTCTAATATGAGTAGGATATTGTTCTTTTATTTCTTTATAAAAATTAAGATTTATATCTGTTATGTCAGATATATTTCCAGGTACACCATATCCTTGCTCTGGTTCTGATTCTTCATCTATTTCTGTTTCATATTTAGCTAGATCTTCTAAGTATACTTCATTTTTTGCATTTTTTGCCCATGCATGTGCTGGTTATGTATGTTTAAATACATTTCTCCAGTCATTATTTGTTATTATTAATAGTCCTTTTGGTACTGGGTATAGGACCTTTTGTCTTTTCTATTCAGATTCTATAGTTCTAGTCCATTTAGTTTCTTTTAGTTTGTATCATAGGGATGATCCTCCTGCTTCATATTCGTCATTTGGATCATATAGTTCTCCTTGTCGATTATAATTATTTTGACTATAATCGTTATAATCATTAGTATCTTCCTGAATATAATCATCTAGTTTAGCTATTTGTTGTGCATCTTCTTGTATTAGTTGTTCTTGTTCTGTTTGCCTGAATAGTTCTTGTCTTTGTTAATTTTCTCTTCGGAATTGTTCTAGTCTCAGGTTTCTTATTAAGGATGATTAATTTGATAGTTGCGACCTTTGTCTTTTGTGACCATATTTTGGTAATACTGGTTGGTTATTATTGCTTATTGGTGCGTAAAGACTACTTGATTCTGATATTATATCAGTTGGTCATACTTCTTTTATCAGTGGTGATGATTTATGTTGATATTGTTTAGAGTAGGATGATTGTGTCAATTGCATTGAATTTCTTCTACTTAGCATCTGTTGTGCTGCACTTAATGTGCCCTGTACTATACTTTTTGCTTTATCAAGGAAGGTTGGTGATGTTGGCGAGCTTGGCCTTGTTGTTGTTCTTGATATTGTTTGTTCTGGTATTTTGGTATACTAATCTTTATCTTGTTTATTTAACCATTCTAATGTTTTTCCAAAGTTATCGTCTAGTAACTATCTGTCTGCCATTTGTTCTGTTTCTTGCGGTTCATTTACTGTTGGTTTATATTCTTCATGATATAGATATTTTGGTGGTAATGTTTTTGGTAATTCTAGGCCTTGTCTTCTGGCTTTTTGTTGTTTCTAGAACATTGTTCTTCTTCGTCTTCTACGTCATGCATTTTATCTAGGTTTTCTAGTGATGCTCCCAATAATTCTCTATATTTTGCTTGATATTGCTCTCATAATTGTTCACTTTCATATTGTTCTATTTGCCTGGTGAATTTTTCCATTAAGATTCATTGTTCATACTCTTGCATTGCTTCAAAATCTTTTTTGTCTAAGTTTAATGCTTGATTAGTTGCATATCCATATTCTTTTTCTAGATCTTTTACTAGATCTTTATTCTTCCAGAAAATAGCATCTTTTGTTTCTGTTAATGCAGATATTGTTTTGTATAGGTAAGCTTTTTTGTCTTCAGCTGTTTCTGCTTCTAATATTTTTCTGTTTGTGACCCTTTCAATTTCCTGAATATGTTCATTAGTTTGTTGTCTTGATAATTGGGAAACATATTTATAATTTGTTTCTATATTCTATATTGTTTAATCATTGTTTTAGCTGCCTTAATCCAGTTCTAATTCTTGGATCTTCTTGTTCCTTTTCTTGTTGTAGGATTCGATCTAATTATGACAATTGTGTTTTAATAAATATTCTTATTTTTGGTGATTTGACTTTGCTTTCCCCTTGTTGATTAAAGGTAATATTTAAGCTTTTAGCTTTGCCTTTCTTGTCTTTTTTAGTATTATCTTTTCCTATTATTTGTTCTCTAAATTGATTTATTTCTCTTTGAGCTGCTTCCAAATATAATTAATTTAATTTTTTTTCTTATTTATTTCACAGTGCTTCATGTTCCACTGCAACTGTTATTCATTGTACTTGTTCTGCAAGTAATATTACTTTTGGGTCATCAAATTCCATTTCCAATAGAATTGTCATTTCTGATGATCCTGGTTCTTCATATT